AATGGATTGGGTTTACATGTGCATGTGTCAACACTGGCCCAGAAATGTCCACCTCTATAGATTCTTCTTCTCTGTCCCTGTTTTTTTGTTTAACCTTTATTCTATTGTAGTCACTTTTGGCTGTTTCGTCAGCTGGTCCGACAAATAACTGCAGACACTTTGTAAAAGAAAATCTTCTTGAGGTGTCATTTCTGTTTTTTTATTTTCCACTTTTTCAATGTGTAACCAAAAAAAGCACATTGGTGGATAATTATCGAGTAAACAACCTTTAAAAGGTTTTTCTTCAATCAGTTTGTATGCAGTTTGACACTCCATTCTGTAAATCAATCTGAGTTGAAACTGCTATTTTGTGATGAGATTATTGGCAAAGAAACAGTAAAATGATTTTTTTTTTATTGTAGAAAAATATGAAGCATTTTTATTATTAAACATTGCAGGTTTTAAATTTTCATAAAGCACTGGTTATTTCATCATTGGACTGGCAAAAAAGATGTCATTTCTGGAAAAAAAATTATTTAAAAAGTCCTGTTTGCATTTCCTTCTTCTTACTTCTTGATTGGTTAAAACTAAACTTTGGTGGGCGGGCCCTAGATGTTACTTGGCGTGGCTAGTCCCTCTGTTCCTGGAATTAGAGTAAACCAACATTGATATTGTAGAGAACTAAAGAAAGAGTGCTGTACATTGGCAGTCTGGTTTGCCAGTCTTATTGATTTTATTGGTAGAAAATTTTCTGCCGAGTTTCCAGTTTAGCAGACCAGAGCAGAGTGGAGAAGACAAGTATGCACCTGGGTTAGTCTTAGCAAGTACTTCATACAAATGTACATCCATCTTAGATGGTTGCTCTAAAAAATTGAAAGCCAAATATAAAGCACGTTTAATTCACAATTTTGCATGACTTTGTATTGGTCTGACACACGAAATCCTCAGAATTATATTGAAGGGTATGGAGAGCTTTGATACACCCTGTTACTATCCCACTTCTTGAAGTCAGATTTTCTTAAATGTCATGTACAAAACTAAGTTTTTCCTGTTGAAAATTATTATTATTATAGATGTACTGGAATAACACATTAATGAATATCAAAATATGATGCTTAACTACAAATACAAACAAAAAAAGCTCTTGTTTTAGATAAGTGTGAAACTTTACATTTAGAGAAAACTATCAGTACTCAGGTAGAAAAAAAAAGCTCCTGTAGAAGTAGGGGGAGTAAAATCTCAGAGCAGAAATAATCTAATTTTAGATTTTAAACAAGATTAACGTAATCCATATTTTTAAAATGAGTGAAATAGCCATCAATTTTAACATTCAACTGCAAATCAGATGGGAATTGTAGCATTATTAACCTCTTGTATTGTTAGGTTATAATTTATTAAAGTCCTGAATTGACGTGTAACAGATCAGGGCATGTGATATGATTTCAGCAATAAATATATGCCTCCCTTCAGGCAGACCCAGCTGTAGGAACAAATTAAAGGGGAGGCATTCCATGTTTTCATTGGGGCACACATTCTCAGCTAACTTTTTGTTTTGTCTCCAGCTTAACAATTGCTCTGTTACTACTGCTACACTGCTTAGAGAGTAAAATATATCAATAAATACCAAAATAAAAAAAATCATTTTGTGTAATACTGTGTTCATTTTATTACTCAAAAGTTAAAACCAGTCTTAATATATATTCATAAACACTATTGTTAGGTTGAGATAATCATTCACACTAGTACAGCTAACTACATCTCATCAATGCACGGTTTGTCCCACTTCCATTTGGAAAACAATTCAGGATTATTGCATCAAAAACACAGGTGGGTGATAACTATTTAAATTTACTGTAGAAACAAGTATGCACAATGAGGAGAAACTCTTTCCTCTTTTTTGTAACAACTCTGGGATAGGGACTGGTCCAAAAGCAATGTTAATGCTATAAAAAGTCATATAGCTACAGTAGCATGCATGTAGTCCATGTACTGTTATTACTCCCTAACTTTTAAAGGAAATTTCACCAACTTAATGTAATATTGTGGGTCTACCTTGTTTTTTTTTTTTTTTTACTGTCCCTTCTATCTATTTATTATTGACATGTTTTTATGCAGGTTAATCTGCCAAGATCTACAGTCATATTTTAAAGAGGGACTTGTTCGTTTAGGCAAAATGTTTGTATATGATCAAATTAATTTAGCTGCATTGAACTTGATCTGACTACATATGGATGAATCTTAATAAATTTGTACTGTATGGAATTGGGTTACATTTCTGTACTCAATGTAAATGGATATGAATGGGACATATTTGTATTTTAAAATGACTTAACTTAGCAATTAATAAGAAAACAGCTAATAAAAATCCTTTATTTTATTATTAAATTGGAACCTAGTTGTAAATATTTCAAGCTGTAAATATTTCAGCTGACTTTTTTATTTAGGGGGAATTTGAAATTACTTATGTGTATATGCTTTCCCTTCCTAAATCCCAGAACAATTTGCACAAACAATACTGCTTAAGATTGGAGTTTTTTTTATAATAATTGTTTCTAATTATTAAGCTACAAGTGAGTAAGATTCATACTCTTTTTGTAGATGTAATGTTCTCTTTATTGTGTATTACATTTCCCATGAAAACGGTGTTGTAAAATCTGATATGCCTATTGTGACAGCCTTTAGTACATTAGCAAAAATCAATGGGAACCACAGACTGTAAATAAAGCCAGATTAGATTTTCAGATGGCATACATTAGAGATAACTGCAACAAATATTTTTATTGGAAAGATTTTCATTGGGTCATTCGTTTTGTAGTGTATTTGTCTTATTATTAAGCTATTTGTTGTGAATTATACCTAAAAATAAAACTCATGTTTACAAAAGCACTTCTGACAATTTTTTGTGTTCCATCCCCTTAAAAATCATACAAATAATCAGGATGTTGTTTCTTTAGCAGGCTCGGATGAAAAGTTGAGTGAAGCCCAATACGCAACAATAAAGCTTGATATTCTGTTAAAGGGCTGCAACAGACTAGAGTGTGGGGAGGAGCTTCGTCATCTAATAGGACCAACAGCTAAACACACAGACAGGGCAGAAATTCAATGAATCAAATCAAAGCAAATCTGTGAATTAGTAGCCAAGTCAGAATCTAACATATAATCCAATGCAGAATATGCGGGAAGACTTTCAGACTTTGTTCACTCAGGCTCTCAAATCCAGTCTGAGTGAAATTTAGCTACTTTGCAGAAAATGCAACAAAGTTACAACTAAAATCAATTATGGCTTTAACAAACTATGAACTTTGTCCAGCTTTCCTGGCAAGTCGAAGAAAATCCTCCTGGCGGCACAGTGTATTTAGGTTGATGAGTTTGCTAGGTAACACTGGGGTTTTTTTCTGTTCTAAAGTCGGGACTGACCCAATGCATAAGCAGCGTAAGCGACTGCTTGAGGCCCAAGTGCATGTTTGGGGACCACAATAGCAACTAACTGATTGCTTTTTGTTTTTCTTTAACTCCCAAATCTCATTGTATCCGTTGCAGAATATAATGACAATAAAGGCTTTTGACTTTTTGACTTTTGATTTCTGTTTAAATGTAGATATTATTATATATTTTTGTTATAGGTATTGTTGGTAGAAATAAAGGACCACAAAATCAAACTTTGCTTGGAGGCCCGGGGCTGCCCTTATTAGAGTAATGAAACCAATGCACACTTCCACAGAAAGCTTTGTTTTCATAAAAAAATAACTAAATTCATGAATAATTTTAGTTCTACTTCACAAGGACTTTCTGGTGGTTTATTAGATACAATTCTGAACAAAAATATTGAATTTTGTGATTGTAGAGTCAAAAAATATGGAACATGTAGAATTTCATAACTGTTTTCTGTCTGTACAATGCTCATGTTTGGTTCTAAACAGGGACCAGTACTCCTGTAAAACCAGTCCTGGCCCCTGTATGGTCCCTGTACTGAAAAAAAGGATTGCAAAAATTTAAATATATATATATTTTTCTTTATGAGAGTATTTTTTCTTGATGTGAGCAGGTACATTTAACAATCTGCCAATGGAATAAGATGATTTATGTTAAAAATATGAAAACAAAAAAGGCTCCATTAAATTATTTGAAACACATAATATTCATCCTTTTTAAAAGACTTTTTAAGAAGGTTAGACCTTTTATAGATCAGTTTTTGTTGTGGAAATGGCCTGTACCTATATAGCACTTTTCAAGTCAGGAGACTTGACCAAAGCGCCTTACACTACATTCAGTCATTCAGACAAATGCTCACACCCTGATGGTGGCAAACTACACTGTAGCCACAGCTGCCCTGGGCCTCACTGACTGAAGCGAGGCTGCTGTACACTGGTGCCACTCAGCCCTCTCACCATCAATGTAATACTAAATATTTTTTATGATGATATGTGCTGACAGAAGGGTCAGTAACATAATCCCCCCTTGGACCAATTTTAATATTTAGCTTTTACAATTTATTCTAACAATTATTTGAGCTTAAGCTTCAGTAGCACCGCAGTTTTCATCAGTAGTCTACAACCATAGCTTTATGGCTCACTTAATATAGCAAATGATGTCCTTTTGCTTTCTTTGTCAATCTTTTGTTCTGTGCCCACATGAAAATTATAAACTGGCTCCACCCTGGGAATGGAACCGCCCCTGACTATACACATCTATGTTTAAGAGTTTAATAGTCAGCGGGGTAAATCATGTGCTAAATGAGGGCAATACAGGCTAGCAAAGACTAGAAGGAGCTCTCCTCTCTCTGCCTGTAAATTGGGCCCCTGGGCCCAGCGGCTTCCTTTAAGCAGCCACTAGGGGCGCTGGTGTTCAGCGAGTCTGGGACGGCTCGCTGAATATTCAAAGTTTATAAAAAGGCATGCAGCATATCAGGGACCGCTGGAGCGGAGCGCTGACATCTATTTATGATCCTAGAAAGAGCGCATAAGTTGTACAAAAAAAAAAAGAAAAGAAAAAGATGAGTTTAGGCCGAGGCCTCTCTCATGCTGGAGGTGTGATGAAGCAGGGAGCTGTCAGCGGGCCTGTCTGTCAGTGGGCCAGCGCTCCGTGAAACATCTCACACACTTAGACACACGGGCTGTGGGTGGGAAACCAGTGGCCGGTGCGAGAGTCAGAGCGGCAGGGAGGAGAGGAGAGAGACGTGGAGCGGAAAGAAAGGAAAGAGTTGAGTGAGAGAGAGGAGAGAGTGAGAGACCTTGGCTAAAAAAAAAAAAGGAGAGAGAGAGATAGAGAGTGAGATAGGGAGAGAGAGGAGGAGAGCTCCGTCTTTCCCGGCGCACTTGGCAGTCTAGTTGTGGGCTGCTGCGCTGTTGCTGTCGTGGCGTGGCTGGTCGCGCCAGGCGGGGGAACTTCACCACACTGGAGCCCGGAGTCCCACTCTCTCACCTGCGCAGTTCGGAGCTGTCATGGCTCTCTCGCCAGGATTGACTGTCCTAATTATCCTGCCGGCCTTCTTGCTGCACACCAGCGGCCTTTATATCGCCAGTAGCGTTGGTGAGTACAGTAAAAACCAAACGTGCTCAGTGTTTATACTCGGATCTGATCTCATCTCTTATTAGCGGGGCTCATCTGAGCGCTCCCCCGAAACTCCTCTCCTTATCGCCCGGTTCTCTTCTTGCTTGTTTCACCCTTTTTTCAGCCTTATTTACCCACAAAATAAGACAATTTGCAACTTCAGTGCGTCCCGCTGTTGTGCGTGTACTTTCCGAGGGTCCCCGCGCGCCGCGCCGCGCTGGGATCTGACTGCTCCTCCAATTTAATGGATCCAATCTTTGCTGTAGAGAAGAAGCAGATGAACTGATCACAGCCAGGTTTTGCAGGGAAGTAGCCGGAACGTTATCTGATTCGGCCGCTGTCGCATCTATCGACCTGTGACAGGACGCAGGGAGTCGGATGTCAGCCTATTGATCACTCCATCATCAAATTGTTCCCCAAACATGGAGAGGTTTAAGAGGAATTAAGAGAGTGGGTTTGATGTTATCAGTATGCAAACTTTATAGCCTACATGATGTGTGCGCCTGTGGAACATGAGGTGGTGACTAACCTGAGTGCTCACCTGTCTGGGGGACACTGGCACCATAAAACGGCCTTGGCTCTGTTTTTTTTGCGCGTGTAGGTGTGTGAGCCCATACCTGTAATGCCACTATAACTACAAATATTTGTAAAAAATAATAACATGTCAATGCATCTGTAATTTATTCAAAGTCAATTGTTTTCTTTTCTGTTCAAAACATTTACTAGGTTAATTTAGTTCATACAGTGAATGTTTTTTCCTTTTTTTGAAGTCGGATAGTGTGACAGGAATGAAACAGCGTGAGGATGCTGGAATTAGCGCCTTGATGTGTCTCTGGGTTTCCTGTTGTCAGTGGAAGGGCACAGAAGGTGTCAGGAGCTCAGCGCGCAGTGCTGAGGCTATCGTTTCCAAACGCACGCACCCAAGCGTCGGGGTCGCCTGTAGGAGCATGGGTGGGGCAGCGGCTCTGCTTGAGCTTCTGTTTGGAAGGGGAGGATTCAGGGGAGATTAAAATATGATAATAAGGGGAGATTTTTCCCCCCCTTATTTGTACATTTCATGATAGTCAAAGACAAAAGAATAGATATACATATATACTATATATAGGCCTATATGGTTGTTGGGTGTAAGATAATTACTTATTATTTTGGAAATTTCTTTCTAATAAAATTGTGTTTAACTGTGCAGTGAGTTTGCATTCAGTCCACCACAAACATACTCTATAGATACCCCTGTAGTTATTTCTGATCATCCCACATTCTGGCTTTACAAAATAGTTCAAACCAAGACAGGATAAAGAATAACTATAAACAGGCATGTATAAGTCTTGCGATACATTCTTGATTGGATTTACATCTGAAATTTCACTAAGTCACTCTAAGAGATGAATGTCCTATTATCTTAATTATTAGATTATTGCGCTATCTAATGGGAGTGGCGGCCTAGTGGTTAGGACAGCTTGAAATCCTGAGGGCAAATTTGGCAATCCCACTGCCAGGTGTCCTGATGGGGAGTGGTGGCCTAGTGGTTAGGATATTGTACTTGTATCCCAGAGGTTCTGAGTTCAAGCCCCACTCCCACAGACTGCCACTCTGGGTCTCTGAGAAAGACCCTTAACCGCTCTCTGGGTGTGCCATGCCGGCAGCCCACTGCTCCCCAAGGGGATGGGTTAAATGCAGAGGCAAATTTCTCCAATGTGGGATAAATTTTAATTATTCTTATTCTCATTATTATGTTTATTCTAGACCAGGCATCCCCAAACTCGGTCCTCAGGGCCCCCTATCCTGCAGGTTTTAGAGGTTTTCTTGCTCCAGCACAGGTGATTTTAATTGAAAGCTGATTAACAGGCTTTGGGTCTACTGCAATCATTATAACCAGCTGTGCTGAAGCAGAGAAACCTCTAAAACCTGCAGGACAGGGGGCCTTGAGGACCGAGTTTGGTGATGCCTGTTCTAGACTAAAGTAATGCCTGAAGCTGCAGACTAAAGTCATCTGTGATATTTTAACCTTCTTTACCGGAATTGGCCTAATATTAGTTACACATTTTCCCATATTTGTGCTGTAGTTGCTCTGTCCCTGCTGAAGAAAAACCTCCCCACAACATTATGCTGCCACCACCTTGTTTTGCAGTGTAATTAGTGTGTTTTCAGAGTGATGTACAGTGTAAGTATTTCACCATATATAGCAAGGTTTTTATATAAGACGGAAGGTTGCAAGGGTACCTTCTCAACATGGCTGTTGTGTTCCCTTTTTGTAAGACTCTTTAAAGAGGCATTACTGAGTTTTCTAATGACACTGCCACCTGTGGCCCAAACACAAACTTCTACTCATTTACATAGCCCACACTTTTACTGACAATTTTTTATTTTATTTTTTTTTTTATTGCTGCTGAATATCCACAAAATCCATATTGAACAAAATGCTTCGATTGTTTGCTAGGTCAGAACTATTCAACATGGACGGAGTTGATGTTACAGCCGCTGAACAGCTCGGGAACCTCTAACCTGAAGTAAATTCAGGAAAATATGCTACAGGCTCAGAAATGCATTGGCACTGAACTACTGAGGTGTCAGTCTGCTCATCAATTGATGTTTTAGTCATATGAGGTCAAATAAAAAGGCTATTTTAAAGATAGCTTCAGTAAAAACTTACATAATGTCTTTATAAGCAACTCTTTATAGAATTCTATATTAACTTTAAACAGATTTTTCCACTTGAGGAGGTTGCTCCTCCCTCTGATAACACTCAGCAGCTTAACAACCTTTTGATTTATTATTTTACCCAAAACTCTTTGTGTCGTTTGCTAATTTGTATTAATAAATCTCTTAGGCATTCACAGAACAATTGGGTTTACATTTGTAAAGATAACATTACACCTAAATAGATTTTCCTTTTATTGGGTTTTATTTTGGTTGATTAAATGCATGTTTTTGGTATATTACCTGGATTTACAATAAACTGTAATCAAGTTACACAACAAAGTGCGAAAAGGTAAACTTTAAGCTTTAATTACATGCATCTCTTAACCAATGTCTATTCTTGTATCTATTCAGTCCTGTAAATTAGAGGGCAAAAGCTACACATAAATCTAAAAGCAAATCGGTAGATGTCACCTACAAACTATTGATGTGCAGAAATTGCCAGGCAACGTCTGTCAACATAAAAAAGAGTGGATCTTCATAGAGAGGCACGTCTAAAACGCAGCATTAAGAGGATAAAGTGAAGGATATTATCTCCTCACTTCTTTAACAGCTTTTGTTTCTTTTAATTATTTAAAAATGTTTTCGATAATTTGGTAAAATTAAATTTGGTTTTAGGGAGAATCTGAATAAAATTCTAACCATGTATTTTCATTTTCTGTTTAACACTGATTAGAACGCAAATTGTACATTAACAGTTGATAATATAATAAAAGAGATTTAATTAATAATAGCTTGATCTTAGGTATTTATTTATTTTTCTTTTCATTCAGTGACAGTGACAATGATGAAAGGTTAAAGTAACATAATTTTCATTAAATGGTTGTGAATTGGTCTGAAATATTAATCTTAAATTTTTCAACACTAATTTTCACTACACTTATTGTAAATGTAAGACTACTAGTAATCTGCAATCCATAAATGCTTTACAATCTGCTAGTTTTAACTTTTTTTAGGTGGTCCAGTCTGTATATTGGCGCTTTTGATCAAGCTTTTTCTTGACCAAATTGGATTCCTGGTGTTTTCTGAGGTTGGATGTACCAAATTGGATTTTTACTGATTTGTTTTATTTTACCATAGCAATAATTATTTTTTTACTTAAGCAACACATTGTATGTGGAGTAAAGAATAAAGGAATCAGTAAAGCATTCAGATATGTGTCTTGAAAGTATAGGTCTCTAGTCTTGATCCTTTATTAAAAAAAAAAAAAGGAGAGGATATTAGTTCTTTTAATTGTGATGCATTTGGTGAAAGCATGACAAATTTGATTTTTAAACTTTCAAAGCCAATATGGGGGAACTAGCAGATCCTCTATAATTCATTCTTTTTTGTCAAACCATTTGTCATAATCCAATGGACATTGATTTAAGTGTATTTTTAAGGGTTGACACTTCTTATGCTTGATTGTATTTCTGTGTTTTTGTTCTCATATTTAAAATCATGTTTTTCTTCACAATGTTGGCCTGTCATCCTTATCTCTGCATTTTGGTCACAATCAACACTAGCAAACAACATTTTCCAATTCCATAATTTCTGCATTTGTAATTTTAGACCAGACTTGAGTCACTTTAAAATCAAATTTTTTTCTTTACTTCTTTTTCCAGTTTTCCCTCATTCCTGCCCCATGTAATTTTTATTCTTTCCTTTTGCTTTCATCCAATATTACTCTTTACACCTATCTCAGGTTCTCCGGCTTATTTCCCTCATCCAACTCTGTTTTTTCCTCTTTCATAGACTCCCTTCAGCACATCCTGGGGGACTATGGACTGGTACGGCCGATCAGTGTGGATGCAGAGGGCCACTTTCTGTCACATGCCGTCTCAGCTGGTCGCGTGGCAGTGGGGCAGTCCCGTAGGCGCCGGAAGAGGGAGGTAGGAGAAGGCAACAATCAGTGGGAAGGACCTCAAGGAGCCGAGGAGAACCAAGATCACCAAGCCAGTCAGGAAAGGCTTTACTACAATGTCACCGTCTTCGGCCGGGAGTTTCACCTGCGCCTGCGCCAAAACACTAGGCTGGTGGCTCCCGGAGCCAAGATGGAGTGGCACGACGACAGTGACAGCATCCGGTACTCCGAGCCTCTGCACAATGAGTGTCTGTACGTGGGGGACATCACAGACACGCCAGGGGGCACAGTGGCTCTCAGCAACTGTGACGGCCTGGTAGGTGGAAAAAGCAGTATTATATTTGTTCTGTTCAGGTCACGGAGGTCACCGAGGAATGACCTGACAAAACATGAGAAACACAAGGGAATATAACACATACAATAATAAAGGATGAGACTTGTCTTGGCTCAGGAAGTAGGGGTTCATTATGTGGGTTTCTCTTTTGAGTCTCTGCTCCACCCTTCTCAATAATAGTGTCTTTGATCAAGACACTTTACCCACTTTGCCCTGAAAAAGCTGTAAAAATACAGCCCATTGCTAGGGTTGCAATATATTTTGCTTATGGACTGTGCAAACTCTTATTGGTCCTGTCTCTGGTTGGGACCAGGTTTGACGTCTGGGCCTGGGTCATTCGGCTAATGTTCAGGTATCCGTAGGGCGGTTGGGCTGCTCAGCTGTTGTGGAGGGTTGGGTGGTCTGCTTGTCTCTCCTCCAGAAATAAAGGAACATTTTCTGGGTCCGTGGACAGGTTTCCCCTCATAAAGGGTGCTACCTGGACCTTGGGGTACAGAATGTGTTTGAGGAACACGAGTGGGTGTATGATGTTTGTTTTTCTGAGGTGTTTATGTTTAGTAAGTTGTTGTATCTGCATCTGATTGTGTTTAATTTTTTTTTTCAAATTGAGTTTTGAGCTGAACCCTCTCTTTGATTATTTGTCTGCTTCCACCTATTGTACTCCGCTCTGGTGGCTGGTGCCTCTGCTCACTTCTGCTTTAGTGGCTCTAGGTATCTGGGGTTGCTTGGTCAGTTCTCTGCAAGGTGGTGTTGTGCTCCCAGAGCTTGTGTCTCTGTGTCCATGGCTGGATATTCACTGGCTTAGTGGCTCCCAGGGGGTCGCCCGTTACTGTGGTCTGCTGCTTTCTGAGGGTGGGGTAAGGTCTGGCTGTTCTTTGCGGGGCTCCTAGGCCTCTGTGCTTGGTGGCAGTTGGGTGTCAGTGATTACAATTTCTCTAGTCTTGTCCTCATGTACTAGTAGGTCGAGTCTGTCGGCTCCCACAACCACAATTGAACATTTTTATGGAGAAACCTTATGGACACATCCTCACAAATGCACAGACGCATGTTTACATTCAGGTGTTTGAAAGAATACACTCTCAGTTTGTCCACGGTAACCACTAAATGCATGTGGTATTACCTTGTACTGTTTACTTTACATTGATGTCATAGCTGTTGTTATTATTATATATGAATATGTTGTTTGTTGTTGTGGTTTCTCAGTTTTTAATTCACTTTTTGCAGTTTTAGAGACAAACTTCATTGTGTTGACTTGTGTTATCTTTCTTTTATCTCCTGTACTTCAATCTTCTCCTTTCCATTTAAAACCTTTACATACTTTTCTCTCTTTGCTTCCTGATTTATTTTGTTTCTTTTACCATTATATAAAAAACCAAAGCAATTTTTAATAGGTTAATATCCATCCATCCATCCATCCATCCATCCATCCATCCATCCATCCATCCATCCATCCATCCATCCATCCATCCATCCATCCATCCATCCATCCATCCATCCATCCATCCATCCCGATTTCTCCCTTTCTCGATATAGGCTATCATTTGATCGTTCACGCTCTCTATAAATACTCTCATTTAGAAAGAACATTTGTTGGTCTTTGCTTTGATAATCTGTTGGTTGCTTTGACAAGTTAAAGAAGTAAATGTGCAGTATAACTACATACACAAGCTTTCTAGCACACTGTGTGTGTGCTGGAATAATTTGCATGTCTAAAAAAATAAACCTGTATCTTCCTGGCTTTTCTAGTAATTGTATAATGTATTTTATTGAATCAACTATGTTGAAAAGCAATGGGGTTAAATTATTGATCCATGTTAGACTATCTTCATATTAGGGCTGAACGATTTTACCAGAAATCTAAATTGAGATTTTGTTTTTTACAAAAGTTGTGATTTTATTTCCATTTTCCTTTGCACTAACCCCAAGCTTCCAGATGTTTCATCTCAGGCTTTGGGTTATTGAAAGCTATTTTTACAGGACTTTAATGTAACTATTGGGTGAAAAAGTGTTTAATTCTACTTGCATGGATGGATCTTCATGCTAAGTGCTACCATCTCTATCTTTCTGTATGGAGACAGACCCACTTCAAGCATTTAATCACCAACTAAAGGGCTGGAGGGAGAAATTTAGTGTCTTACATGTTAAATATAGTGTAATTAAAAATCTGTCGCTCTGTGATTTGAAAATTGTGTTTTGTTTAATTACGATTACAAATGCAAATGCCCAGCCCTGCTGTGTATGTTTTAAGTCCGATGGTACAGTAGCATTAGTAGGTCTAATGGGTGACACCTTGATGGGTGGAAACTAACCTGTGTTTGCAGCAACAAGTGCCAGAGGGGAATAATAATTTTATACTCTATCCTCCAAACAGCTGGAGAAGCCTCTGACCACTCCTCCTTATTATCTCTGATTGAAAGGATTTTAAACAATGGAGTTGCATTGCCAATAGCTATTTTTGGTTTGATGTGCTAATCAAAAATTTTACAAATTATTATATTTTTATTTTGAAAGGAACAATCCTATAAAAAGTGAAACAGAAGTGTTACAATTTTCTTGACATGAATAACAGTTTTGAATTCAACAAATAATAAAGAAATGAAAGGATTAGCGCAATTTAGTCATCACAGCTTATTCGCTGACTGTTAATTTTGGAGAGTGTTTTAAGTAAAAAAGGCATCACAATACATGCCGCTGACTTTCTGACTTCTTTGAGGTGTTATTATTTTAAAAAAAGTACTAATGGGCTACCGGTAACTGGCCCATGCTTACCTCACATGTATTACATTCTCAGTTTTTTCGAATTGTGTTTGGCTGCTTTGTGATGCACGCAGAGAGAGCAGACTAATTACTTACAGTCCAACAACATTCAGGATTTAAACTGCCCCGGTGAAATATTTTGGTTGCTCAACAGTTGCTCAAAGAGCTTTTAATAGAGCTGATGATACAAGGAGAAAAAAGGAAGGATATGGCAAACTGTTGGTGAGTGACTGTCAGTAAGGGAGCGAAGTGAGATGTACACAGTGTGAAAACTGTGCACAGGAAATGAGATGAGAAGATGAAGAGAGACCCGTATGGGCAAAGACTTGTGCCATCAGCAACTGAATGTCATGTAATAAAATGGAATGCATCACTTTGAAAAGGAATTAAATTTAAACTTCTATAACTCGATTTCAGATTTAAACAATGTTCAGTTTATTTGTGTTAACATCAGATCCTTTAGCCACAGAGTAATTAAATATAGATTCACCAATTTAGACTAAGCTTTCTTTTACAGAAATCTTCTGATAAAGCAATGGAACTTTAACCTGACTCCGCCAGATGGATTTGCTCCGCATATCCATCTGGAAACCTTCCATAGAAGTAATTTTAGGAAGGGGCGAAAATACTGGTTAGCTGATTGGCCTATGTTGGTGATAGACGGGCCAAATAAATCAATCAGATCAACGAAGCATATGACGTAACAGAGCGACGACGAAGAGGAGCCAATTGATAGATCAAACTCTTGCCGAAACCAGTTGGGAGAAGAGCAAAAACATCTTTTCCTCTGAGAAAAGCCTCCAGAGCAGTGTTTTGCTCTTCTTTCAGTGAAGAAATACTGTGTAATTCTGATAAAACTTGCTTGATAGCCACGCTAACGCTAGTTTCATCGGCTGAAGCCGCCATGTTCTTTAGACTGAACTGTCGCGCTTCTCGATGCTTCACACCTCAACCCGCCTCAAAGCCATTGCTGATTGGACGTTTGTTTGGTGAACGGCTCCAAATTTTCTTCAACGGAGAGTCTCCAGACTGATTAGCGAGTGAAATCTTGAAAGCTTGCAAGATCAGGATGGTCTTGCGAGGCTAATGGAACTTGGCATACTTGAGCATAAGGTAAAGTGGAGGATATTCTTTTTCCAGGTGGATTATCAAAATAATCGGTCCTCCTAATTGTCAATCATTCTGGTAATATGTTTACGTAAGGCCGTCCTACGTGCTCGTCCCCATTTTCTTTTTTTTTTTTTTTTTTTTTTTCTTTTTTTACAGTGTCCTGTCTGGCAAGGTGGCAATAAGAATAATTGTCTTGATGCAAAAAGGAGCCCAACAGATTTTACTTTCACAAGTGTAGCGGTATCGCAATTGCCATACTACTCCACTTGTTTCATGTATATAAATTGCTTTATTATAATTATGCAGGGAGTTTTACAGTTCATATGGACACTGCAATGTAAGTAGAGCAGAAAAACAGAAGAAGAAGAAGGAAAAAGAAAAAGAAAAAAACAGGACAAAAGATGAAAGAAAGAGGAGATAGGAAGGAGACAATGACAAAACATTTTCAGTCTGCTTCAACACCTGTAATGAGATGGAGAAAAAAAAAAAAAAAAAAAAAAAAAAAGAAAAAAGAACAGCACAACCAAAAAACATGGTACGAGATATACAATAAAGCAAACACCTTGAAACTATCGCTAAAGTAATATTATTAAGTCTGACAGTACTCTGTGTTACCTGAAGATATGAATGTGGGGTTTCTGTTTGGAAGTGAATCTCTAAGTACCTGAAGCCTAGCACCTGTAGTTGTTTGTGAGGGTGAACTTGTGCATGTAAAGTTTTAACCATAGAAAAAAATGCTCAATAGTGGTTGTGGAGAGCCGGAGAGGCACACCCCCCAGAGCACTGAGTCCAGCGCCGGGAGACCCAAAGCTCCAGGCGCCCAAGGGGACCCCAGAAGCGAAGGCACCAAGGCAGGGCCAGCCCCGGAAACCAGACCCCACCAAGGCAGGAGGAGAGACAGCCACGAAGAAGCCCCCCAGCCACCGCCATGCCGGCGCCCCGGGGAGCCGCGGGGACGAGTCCGCGGGCCCCGCCGGCAGCCGGCCACCCCGAAGTAGGGCCGGGCACCGAACACCAGCCCCCCCACGGCGCCGACCGAAACGCCCCAGCCCCACAGAGCACCGAAACACGCCCCGCCCCCCCGCACCAAGCCCCGGCGACCGGCCGCAACACCC